AATTTGATGGCGCATAGTTGTCGAACTACTCCTTTTCACTCCACTAACGAGGGCTTTCCAACACCCTAGCCCAGCTTTGGTGATTGAAAAAGCTACCACGGCTCATACTGATTTCTTGATGGCCAGGGATGTGTCTGCTAATGGCCTGAGGTGGTTGCGACTGTTGTTTCTGGGAATGATGACAGGTGGTGTCCTCCTAACCATGATTTCATCAAGATCAAATTTGATGGCGCCTAGTTGTCGAACTCATCTAGAGCTGGTGTAGGGGTTATCATGCGCGATGAGTTTGGCGCCTTCCGTGGAGGGGTGGCTAGTCCTCTCTGCTGTACCTCTCCTTTGGTGGGTGAAGCGGCTGCTGCTATTTTGGCTTTAGTAGTGGCCCAAGCTTGGGACTATAGAAAGATATGCATGGAGAGCAAGGTCTAAAATATCGATGGTATCGGAAATATCGGTAGTTCAAAAACACGGACATTTCAATGGAAATATCAGGATATTATTGATATCGATAAAAATTGATTAAAAACCACGGAAATTGTAAGAAAAATTTGGAAATTTTTATTGAAACTTTGGAGGATGTTTATTTAGTTAACTATCTATTAGTTTATCACAAAAATTTAGAAGGAAATGCATTGCATAATGGGTTTAAGGGATTTAAGTTGATTATATAGCTAGCTGACAAACACTGTTTGAACGTGGAAAATATATAGTAATTAATGAAAGAAGATTATACATACCATAATCATTTATATATAATGATTTATAAGGTTCAAATTTTTCACTATCTTCATCATCTCTATGTGTATGGTAAGTGTATTGTGAAGAGTAGTCATCAAATGATAAATTTCCAAAATAGTTTTGCATGTAATTGTTAACATGCCACCCATATGAATTCAAGATTAGTTGACGTTGTCCATAAGCAAAAATTTTTGAAGATAGAGTCTCGGATTCTTTCCATGAGCCACTTAATTCCATCCTAAAAGGAATGGGATATGAAGGGGTTCGATTCCCTTTTTTTTGTGTGCTGTGTTGTTTTTTTTTTTTTTTTTTTTTTTTTTTTTTTTTTTCTTTTACCATCGATATTTTCGATATTATAGTGATATTATAATGATATTTGGACAAAATATTGTTAAAATGTGAGCGAAATTATCGACATCGATATTTTCCAATATGATCGTCGATATTGTCGATATTTATATGATATGTGTATAGATACGTTCTGAAATATCTGTGACCCGAAAAAACGATAATATCCTTAATATTTCGTTGATATTATCGATATTTTAGACTATGATGGAGAGTGATTCTCAGGTCTTGCTGGATGGGATTCATGGCATCATCAATAACAAGGCTTGGAGTAGGGTTAACTAGTGATTTGCCCCCTAAACTTGTACCTAGCTTTCGATTTGGAGATAATATTTATAAACTATAGAATTTACACCAGAGGTTCTGTTATAGTTGTAAATCAGGCATGACTGAATTAGTTAGAATGAATTTATATGTGGTTGGGTTTTGGTTATGTTTGCAGGTCATGAATTTGACTTGGCGGTTTGCTTGGTTTCATTTAAGAATATTGGCCTTGTTTTGGTTGGTTTGGCTTGAGCAGCTGCGAGAATATTGGCTTCATGTTGATTCAACAAGTAGATAGGAGTTTATTGTTTTCAAGTTGTTAATCCGCTCGGTATATATGGATGCATATGTTTCTCTTGCTTGTGAGGCAAAGTTGCTGGTCGAAAGAGACTTGAAATGATTTTTATTTTTAATATGTAAGTTTTATTTTTCTTTATAAGACATGACTTTGAACTCAGGTGCTATGACATTGGTGATTTGTTAATTATGGTATGTTACTGTTTTGCCAAGAAATTTTGTGTAGTATGGTATGTTTTTATGGTGAATGTATGTTATGTACTTGTAAATTTTTTATAGTTGGGTAAGTCTTGAGCTATTTTTATTTGGGACATTTAATAAAAAAAATTATTAAAACTATATTAATTTAATTATAACAAAAGAAAGAAAGAAAAAAAAAGCAATTTAAGCGACGAAATAACTCGATATTGCCAACCAAATAATTCAACATTTTACACAAAAACTTGGAACTAGACAATATTCCATGACCAAATTTTTATTTTGTCAAGGTCTGCTCATACCTTTAGCGATCAAAGTAGAGACCAAAACTGTAGGACACCAAAGGTTAACTGCGACCAAATTTTTATTTGGTCGCTTATCCCTTATAATTTTGCGCCAATGATTCAAGGGTTCAGCGACGAAACTGGGAGAAATAAGCCACGAGATTTATTGGTCGCTTGTGAATATGAACGACTAAAGTTGTTTTTGGTCTCCGTTTCGAGTCTCAATGACGAGACTTGAGCGATGATTGGATTCCTACCAAAATTTGGTCGCCCACGTAACAAGCGACCAAAAACGTACAATAGGCGACAAAATATGTTTGGTCACCAAAAGGGTTTATTTTCTATAAATAAAAAAATGATAGGGGGAAAATCAAAAGTTAGGCACAAGTTCAGAGGGCAAATCACCAGTTAACCCGCTTGGAGTATTATGCCTCAGATTGATGAGATAAAAATCCTGTGTCTGAATTATTTTTTTGGGTGAAGAAAATGGTGGCAAAGTGTGCAACAAATTTGGAAGCACTTCGTGGTCAGAAGTAAGTTGAACCCCGAGCGGAGATTAATCCCACCCTTCGAATGTGGGGACACCTAATGGTATTTACCCAAAAAAAGAAGTGTCTCCTCCTGATTGGCAGGGACCCGATAAGAGGATAAGAGTAATAATGACCTAAATCTGATAAATGGTCTGAGCCCACTTGAGATTACAAAAGATATCCCACTCAAAAGTTGACATCCCTTCCCTATATAACATGAGTACATAAACAATCCTTTTCATACTTGCAGAGCAAAGATCTAAAAAAATTTACACCAGTACAAATCATGTCGCTAGAAGCTGGTTCAGCAACTCAATCACAAAGTTCTAAGCCTGATCAAATTGTTCGACATACGGCAAATTTCCACCCGAGCATTTGGGGGGATCAGTTTATGAATTATGATTCAGAAGACATTGTAATTTATATATCATGCAAATAAATAAATAAATCCATGTTGTTTTTTGTTTCAAAAGAAATTTGACATGTATTTTGCTCATTTAATGTTATGGGTGCAGATAACTGATAGGATTTTTAGTACCTGCGCAAACAGGGTTAAAATCACTGAAAATACTTGCAAGAATACAAGGTAATTGTAGTATAAATGCTCATGCAAGGTCGTTGTCCCCAAAGATTGTTTGACTAATCTGTAATTAAACTAACTCTTAATTAATAACTAAAATAGATTTTATCAAAGATTTGAAGTTTATGAATTTGTAAAGATTTAACTAACAGTAAAAGAAATCTGAAAGTTGGGAAATAATAACAGCAAAGAAGAAAAACGATTTCTTTTTAAAGACTAACAATTTAGAGAAAACTAGGGTTTAGCCAACACCGTCGCAATCCTATGCAATTCTATCAATTACTTATGAATTTCCACATATATGCTTTGAAGGTTAGGTTTTCCTAATGCATACTTTCCTTGTGATGTTCAAGCGAAAACGTATATCTAACATGCAATCCGTCTGTGATGTTCAGATCAAATATAAACATGCAAGACTCATTAAGCTTTGTGAAAACCCTTTGAAAAACCATGCAACCCTTAAGAGCGTGATGTTCGCCTTAAGTGAACTTACAATTACTAATCACAAGAAGCCCTCCTCAATTTCAGGGTGATGTTCCAACAGAAATTGCATCAATTTACTTGTCTACATATCCTAATGGTGATCAGTCATTAAAATAGATAGATAGTTTTAAACACAGTGATTAATAATTCAAAGCAAACATGCATCCATTCATAAGCAAATTAATAAAACTACATATTCATGCTAAGGCTTACGGCCTCACCCCAGCAAAAGGAATTAGTTACACATAATCATAATTGAAATCCAATAAAATATCATTCGAATGAGTAAGAATGAAAACACCTGAAAGTAGCGAAAATCCAAAACCCTAGCAATTGCTCCCAAAGCCAAAAAGAAGTTCTAAAAGGAGATCCCTAAATTGCTGTGAAAAGGAGCTTAAATACCTCCTAAAACCTAGCTACCCAATCCCCACAAGGAAACTAAGTTAAAGTAGAATAAGACTAGGAAATAAAGTCCAAATTGGATTAGGAGAATCTGCCCATAATCTGCCCAGCCACGTTTTAGTCTCAAATCTCCCCCAAATCTGGCCCAAGATAGCTCGTTTTAAAGATAAAAATATTCCGAACACTTCTCCAGAAGGCCACAAACCCATCCGAGGTCATCTTGGGCTCCAAAATCACAATAAAAGCCCAAAACGTCACTATTCCAGCATCGCGCACTGCTCCTTCATTTATTCGCCAGGAAATCATCGCTTGGTGGAAAAGTCTGATATTTTGATACGATCAAGCTAAGTGACTCACGTACGTCCTCCAACTGGAATTACTCCAAAATTCGTCCATTTGATTATGTTTTGCTCCAGAGGAAGTCGAAAGTCCTATATTAGAAATATAATTCAAAGTATCAAAATTCTTCCAACATATTAACCAAAATATACTAAGAATGAGGTTAAATATATAATATAAAATCGACTCATCAATAACTTATTCCCATAAGCAACAAGAAGTTGAAGACCTGGAACAAGTAGTGAGGAAGGAAGTATTCACAACTGGTGCAGGTGATTTTTCATATCAGATGAAGCTAATTGAAGCAATCCAGCAACTCGGCGTGGCATACCATTTTGAAAACGAAATAGAAGAAGCATTGGGCCACATATATGCTACAAATTATTTCCCGTTACGATGATGATGGTGATGATGACCTATACAATGTTTCCCTTGGTTTTCGGCTACTAAGACAACATGGGCATAATGTTTCATGCAGTAAGTTACTAGAGAAAATAATGTAACGAGATTGAATTTGTCCAAAATTATTTCTTAATATTTATGTGTTATGTGTCCATTTGCTGCAATCGAGCACGAATATTCAACAAGTTCAAAGATCGTAAAAATGGAGGCTTCAAGGAAAGCTTAATCGCTGATGTGCCGGGAATGCTAAGCTTTTATGAAGCAACGCATCTGAGGGTGCATGGAGAAGATATACTAGAAGAGGCTCTTCTTTTCACGACAAAACATCTGGAGTCGGCAACAACCCATGTCAGCTATCAACTGGCAGAACAAATAGCTCAAGCCCTAGAGAGACCGCTTCGAAAGAGTCTCGAGAGGTTATGCGCTGGTCGGTACATGTCCATCTACCAAGATGAAGCTTCACATAATGAAGCTCTATTAAAACTTGCCAAGTCATATTTCAATCTTGTTCAATCTTTGCACAAACAGGAGCTCAGTGAGATTATTAGGTAGGTTATCTTTTAATTATGTGAGATTAGCCATGTAATTAAGTTAGTAATTCATTAACTAATATTAGCAATGAATTAGGTGGTGGAAAGAAGTAGACTTCGAAAGGAAGTTGCCTTTTGCAAGAGACAGAACTGTGGAGTTATACTTCTAGGTGGTGGGGGTCTATTTTGAGCCTCAATACCTCGTTGGAAGAAACATTCTCACAAAAGTGATTGTCCTGATAACAGTAATGGATGATATCTACGATGCATTCGGTACATTTGAAGAACTCAAGATCTTTACGGAAGCAGTTCAAATGCTGGATGAATTTTTATAAGTAAATAAAATAGAAAAGTTTATATAGATTGAGGAGTAGGGTTTAATTTTCGGATTTTTTGATGACTTTGATCCAAGTCCTTTGACTTTTGTGCCACATAAGATTACATTACTTGTTAAATATTTTCTGGTGTAATCTTTTTATTTTTTATTTTTAAAATTATTTTTTACTTTTAAAATTATTTTTTTAATCCAATGGTGCCCCTTATGAGTTGAATATGGTAATAATCCTTTATGTCATATTGCATGTTGCCTATTGCATACATTTATGTTTTTTCATATTTTCGACAATGTGTAATAGTATTTTATGTACCTTTTTTTTTATAGGTATACAATTTTATTTGTCTATTTTTTGGATCTAACCTATATGTAGTCTTCTAATTTATGTTCCTAACTTATAGGTAACACGATTTATCAATAAGCTTTTTTGTTGCTAATAATAACATTATTTACATGAGTAACGCTATACTTACCACATTTATATCTCACATTTTCATACCACCTTATGTGGCAAATGAAGTGGACAATCATATCAACTAAAAAGTGTCAATAAATCATAAAAGATAAGAAAACGTTAAATTAATTTTAATTGATGTGTTGTCCACCTCATCTGCCACATAAGGTGGTATGAGAATATGTGGTATACAAATGTGGTAAGAGTAGCATTCTTCTATTTACATATAGGAAAATGCTAGGGAGACCAACTTTAGATACCAACTTGTGTAGCAACTCTCTAATAGAACGTGAGACCCATTGTATTGGTGGGCTCCACCTCTATTAGAGAGTTGGTACACAAGTTGGTATCTAAAGTTGGTCTCCCTAGCATGACCCTTACATATATGTATGTTATGTACATAATTTAATGTGTGTGCTAATTAAATTGTATTTTATCCATATATTAGGAATATTCAAGGAAAGAATTCAAAATTTAAATTCTGGAATTCAATTACAATAAAATAATTCATTAAATTTAGATTTTCAATGTGTTTTCCTTATTTACCTCAAAGGGTAAAATCGATACAACAACAAAAAGTAATAAATGTCAAAAGACCTATATCTACAACCAAAAACTTGTGGACTAAACCCAATGACGGCTAATCTTTTTGGACATAGATCTAAGAAGCCCTAAATAAAAACCAAACCAAACCAAATTTTAATTTTGCTTTGTAGATATGCTTCAGATGAACATGGTGTGTGCAATTTACAGATGGGATGTCAATTGCATGGATGAACTGCCAGAGTACATGCAAATATTCTACCGTACGCTTTTGAATGTTATCAATGAAATTGAGGAGGAGATAGTGAAGGAAGGAAGAGCGTACAGAGCTTACTATGCAAAAGAAGCTGTATGTAATAATTAACTAATTAAACACGCAGATTAATTTACATTTCACTTTTTTTAATTAATTTACGTATTATTTATGTCCCATATATGCAGTGGAAAAATGCAGCCAAAGCTTACTTTCATGAGGCCAAATGGTTCCACGAAGGATACATCCCCAGCACGGAGGAATATATGCGTGTTGCTACAGTATCTGCTGGTCACACCATACTTACAACTATATCTTTTTACTTGGCATGGAAGACATTGTAACCAAGGAGTCCTTTGAGTGGTTGTTGAATGACCCTAAAATTCTTAGAGCTTCCAATACCATTGGTAGGCTCATGGATGACATTGTTTCGAGCAAGGTACAAAGCAGCTATTGTAGTTCACTATTACATAATTCTCACTTTGGTCTCTCAACAGTTATTAAATTTTATAGTCCTCACACATTCAGTAATGTGTCTATTTTGGTCCTTCTGTCAAATTTTGTTAGTTTTTTCCATACTTTTTACCGTCAAAAATGTTTGCTCACACCAAATATTTTTACCACCCTTCTCATTGTCCACTTTTCGGTTCTTATATTTCATCCTCATTTGAAGTTTGAAGTTGGAACTTCAATTTTACATGAAAAATGTCATTAGAAATGAATTATGAGAAGAAAAATGTCACTAGAATGTCATTAGAACTTCAATTCTACTTGAAAAGTTAGAAGTTGGAACTTCAATTCAATTTAGTAAAGACTAATCTTACAAGTATGGATGCGCTATGTCTAACCAACTAAATAATTAATTATTTTATATTCTTACTGTTATTGGATTTTGGATTATATTTTTGCAGTTTGAGAAAGAGAGAGGGCATGTTGCTTCTGCCATTGATTGTTACAGGATGGTGTTGACACATCATCCTAAAGTTGATAAGTCCATATTTCAAATAATGAGTGTGTACTGTTGATTTCGAATTCTAAGATATGTTTGGGCGAGACTAAGCTTTACTTAATAAAGATATTCAAATTATCAATTAGCTTTGACTTACGTATGGAAAATTTAATTATTCTATTTTTACAGAAATGGTACTTCTTTTTATACATGATCTTTTTTAATGAATTCTGTTGAAATGATAATTTTCATTAAATAAATAAATAAAATTTTCTTTTGATTAATTTATAAACAAATTCATCTTCCACTTTCGTGTTCTTATTTATATCACTGCTTCTGATCATCACTTTTTTTTCTTTCTTCCTACGTCTGCAACCACCATCATCAAACAATGAATATGGAATAATTTTTTTCTTTTGATATGGGAAAGAGAAGAGGGATTATGATTACAGAGGTTTTGGGGAATAGAAATCTCAGTGAGAGGTAAGATTTTGGGGAAAGAAGAGGAAAAAATAAGAGAAGAAAGACAGAACGTGATGCAGGAAGAAGGAGAAGATTAAAAAAGACTAGGAACGCTAACTTTCCCGTTAGTTGGATTAGAGAATTTTTTTTCTTTTTTAATTAGGACTAAATGAGTTTTTTAATTTTAGGATGATGTGTCAACTTTTAAGTCCCTTAAATTAAATTTTAATGAGATGGCATGTGGAGAACAAAAGTCAAACAAATCATAGCAGAGAAAATCAAAGCAGAAGATCCGGATCCTTTCTGAAGTGGGCTTTGGACTTGTTGGCTTTATTTGAATTAAATATATATTTTAATATATCTAAGTTTTTGAATTTCGGATTTGAAATTCAAAGTTCAGACATATCTGTTCTCTGTTTGAACAGATATGTCCAAGGGGTGTCTTAGGCTAATTTAAATAGCCATAATGTAGTTCGCTAGATACCAAAATTCAAGTGGTAGAATTTTTGTTTTGATAGTTGTATCCTAGTGGACAATCATCTGCAATGGCGGATCCACATAGGGGCAAGGGGGGTCAATTGACCCCCGCAAGCCCAGAATCCACCATAGGAGGCCAAGAACTTGACCCCTGCAAATGCCTAGAAGGTGTTTGATGAAATGCCCCAAAGAGGGAGCTGCCATAGCTAGGAGCAAGCAAGAAGCTTGCTGTTTAGTGCCCATCGCTTCATTTTTTTTTAAATTAATAAATCTGGGCAAAATAACGTCGTTTTGACTCAGGTTTTTTAAATAAATAAATAAGCCCCACAGGCAGCACAGCAACTCGATAGAAGAAAGTACAATCAATTGCAAACACACACACACACACATATATATATATATATATATATATATATATATATATATGTAAGCAAACTGATTGCCGTCTGTCTAAGAATACCATATGTGAAATCAAACACATGTGCCTTAGATATCTTTTGGATATAATATGGCAACATGTTAATGAGTTCCACTTTATTATTAAATTACAAGCCAAACATATATTTTACCTATTACACAACCTTGATTGCTGAAGGCTTGAAGCTTCCTTTTACAAGCTCAAGGCTTGGGTCGGTTCTAATTAATGGGGGTGAAATTGATCATCAACAAAATAATGGTGAGAATCACTTTCAGAAGAACCATGTCCGAATTTACCATAACTCTAGTTCACATCATTGTCGTCACCATGCTTGGCCCTCGTTTTTGTTGTTGTTTGTGGTTGGAGGCTGAGATTGATCCTTTGTGTCACTACCAATTTATAAAAGTCATATACTTGAAGAAGTCGAGAAATTATACAATGGTACCGTATCACCACGTCAGCTGGTGATACTTCCATTAAAAATATGCCACGTATTGTTATTATTTTTAAATAATTAAATCTTTTTTATACAGCTGGACTTTAATTATGTTTTTATCTTTAAAATAAAATTGAGAAAATAAGAATATCCAAAAGTCAGCTCTCTTGACTGACGCGACCTCCCTATCATTTTCTTCCTCCGTCCATCTCTCTATTCCATAAACAACCATATCTCTATTTCATTGGATCGAAGTGCAGAGAACGTCATAACGCCTTTTTTTTTGGGCTGATTTTTCTCCACAATATTACCAAAGGGATTAAGATTCTCCTTCTCCTCCTCCTCCATCACTCACTTCCTAATACATATTAAGACAAAAAACACCAACCCAGTTTACAGTTTACTTTTTTTTCTTGAGCTATGCTTGAAAATAAAAACCCAAGTTGAAAATTTAGAATTTTTTTCGAACTGGGTTGAAGTGATGGATACTCCTGACATACTTAGAATATATGATATTGGTTTTGTTTTCTGCTCCCATGGTTTAAGAGATCTTGCAGATTTTTATGGAGAGAGAGAGAGAGAGGGAGGGGGCGGCAAGTAGTGGGAGTGGGGAATTTGGGTTGGGGTGGGAGGGAGGTGGTTATGGCGTCTTTTGTTTTTTCTCTTTCTACAATTTTATTCTAAATGTAAATAATGAATTTTAAATACAGCTTGTAAAAAAATCAAATTTATTTAAAAAAGATTGACACATGGTGTATTTTGAGTTGAAGTATCACCAGCTAACTTGGTGATATGATACTATTCTATAATTTCTCCTTGAAGTCACAGATTCCATAATTTAATTTCCATTCAATTATTAAAAAAATTAAATATAAATATTATAATTTTCTAACAATATATTCTATTATATTATACAACATTCTGATTGTTTCCAACAAATGATCGGTCGAGAGTCACTTGAGATTACAAAAGATGTCCCACAAGAGCTATCTTCCTAATCGGCCGGGCCCCCGGATAAGAGATAAGGGACGACCTTAAACATACGATCCCTTCCCTATAAATAGTACACAAGCAATGTTTCCATATTTGCAGTGCAAAAGATCTGAAATTCTTTTACACCAGTACAAATCATGTCGCAAGAAGCTGGTTCAGCATCTCAATCAAAAAATCCTAAGCCTGATCAAATTGTTCGACGGACAGCAAACTACCAACCGAGCATTTGGGGGGATCAGTTTATCAATTATGATTCTGAAGACATAGTAATTTATATATCATACAAATTGTTTCAATAACTAAATGCGCATGTTTCTTTGTTTTGTTTCGAAAGAAATTTGACATGTATTTTGCTCATTTAACGTACAGATAAATTATGCCCATAAGCAAGAAGAAGTTGATGAACTGAAACTAGTAGTGAGGAGGGAAGTGTTCACAACCAGTGGAGATGATTTTTCGAATCAGATGCAGCTAATTGATGCAATCCAGCGCCTCGGCATGGCGTACCACTTTGAAAGGGAAATAGAAGAAGCACTGGAACATATATATGCTTCAAATCATTTCCATGATGATGATGGTGATGGTGATCTATACAAAGTTTCCCTTGGTTTTCGGCTACTAAGACAACATGGACATAATGTTTCATGCAGTAAGTTATTAGAGAAATTAATGTAATGAGATTGAATTTGGCCAAAATTATTTCTTAATATTTATGTGTTATGTGTAAATTTGCTGCAATCGAGCAGGAATATTCAACAAATTCAAAGATAGTAAAAATGGAGGCTTCAAGGAAAGCTTAATCGCTGATGTGCCGGGAATGCTAAGCTTTTATGAAGCAACGCATCTGAGGGTGCATGGAGAAGATATACTAGAAGAGGCTCTTGTTTTCACGACAAAACATCTGGAGTCGGCAACAACCCATGTAAGCTATCAACTGGCAGAACAAATAGCTCAAGCCCTAGAGAGACCGCTCCGAAAGAGTCTCGAGAGGTTATGCGCCCGTCGGTTCATGTCCATCTACCAAGATGAAGCTTCACATAATGAAGCTCTATTAAAACTTGCTAAGTCAGATTTCAATCTTATTCAGTCTTTGCACAAACAGGAGCTCAGTGAGATTATTAGGTAGGTTATCTTTTAATTATGTGAGATTAATTACGAGCACCGACTGTAATTAAGTTAGTAACTCACTAATTAATGCCGTCGATTAGGTGGTGGAAAGAACTAGACTTTGGAAGGAAGCTGTCTTTTGCAAGAAACAGAATCGTGGAGTTATACTGCTGGATTTTGGGGGTCTATTTTGAGCCCCAATACCTTGTTGGAAGAAAATTTCTCACAAAAATGATTGCCCTGATTCAATTATCAATGACTGATTAAAACAATTATATAAATAGAATATATAACAATCTGTAACACAGAATACAATATATTAATAATAAATAAAACTGACCTGAATTTGAGATAGAGGCTTGCAGATTTGATGCAATGTCCTAAAGACAGTAATTTCACCCCTTCTCGGTGCTTGAAGTTCTACAGGTGACTGCCTCCCAGGATTCAACTATCTATATTCTAAGCCCTAGCACTCGGACTTAGAATCTGGCGAACGTTGTTTGTTTTCCTCTTAGACAATATGAAAATGCTTGTAAAATGCTTTTTTCTGTATCTAACGTATGAGGCCTTGTTTGATTTAAATAAACTTCTGAAACCTTATCAGAAGAGTCACAACTGTTAGAAAACAGTTAATAAAACTAATCCGAATTAATAAAAATTATTAATTCGAAACCAAAAAATAATTTTAAATCTGAAAGTGCCCAAGTGCCCCAAGGCCCAAGGCCCATCTTTTTTACCATTAAATATTATATATTTTTATATAATATTCAAAGCCCAAATCAATTTTGAAGCCCAAATTGCTTCCACTTGGCCTACTTCCATTTACTAAGTGTGGCACTTCCACACTTATAAGGACCTCACTCTTTCTACTTTCTATCAATGTGGGACAAAGGTTCTTGAATTTAATTCAAACTTCCAACCATACCCCACATTTGAATCGAAATTCTAGACCCCACATTTGAAATGTGATACTTTTACTGCTAAATGTATGTAATGCATTTGAGAGGAAACAGATGTTATATACATCAGGAAAAGTGTCTTTTGGACTTGAACTTACCCTAGTGAAAACATATCGGATTTACTTGATGACGCAGTGGATATAGTTGATCTTGAACTGTTCATCGTTATAGTAAACCTAGACAATATGTCTCACACATATAACATCTTAACAAACGTTAGTTCATACGTTTTTGTTCATTTTGGTCCTGAACATATCCCAGGTTTCATGAGAGCTTTAGAGAACTTAGCCTTTTATTTTCCGTTCTCATAAATGCGACCCCACATTTACTCCCATATAGGTGACACCAATTAAGAGTTTTCTGCCTAAACTCCTCTTAGTAAGATATTAGTGTCATTAAATGCAAAGCATAACCTTCACATCAACAGACAACACACTAATCATCATAGGAATGAGTTAAATTGTGTGTTCAACTTTTGAATCTTACCCAACCAGTTTGCCTATTGAACCTAGACCATGGGATCTCCAATCAACTAGGTTAGGTTTCCGTCAGGTTTGATTCATTGGATTGGCTTCAATCCCATTCCTCTCGATGTAAATTTGATTTGCTCTCTTGGTAGGCCTTTTGTCAAAGGATCTGCAATATTTTCCTTTGACTTCACATAGTCAATGGATATAATTCCATTTGAGAGCAATTGTCTAATTGTATTATGCCTACGCCTGATATGTCTTGACTTTCCATTGTATACACCACTCTTGGCTCTTGCTTGTGCTGCCATACTATCACAATGTATACAAATTGCTGTCACAGGCTTAGGCCACATTGGAATGTCCTCTAGGAAGTTTCTCAGCCATTCTGCTTCTTCAGCAGCTTTATCTAAGGCTACAAACTCTGATTCCATTGTAGAGCGTGCTATACACGTCTGTTTAGAGGATTTCCAAGATACTGCAGCTCCACCTAATGTAAATACATATCCACTAGTTGATTTGGTTTCTGTACTGTCAGAAATCCAATTTGCATCACTATAGCCTTCTAGAACTGGTGGATATCTAGTGTAGTGCAATCCATAGTCTTGGGTGTATTTCAAATATCTTAGCACCTTTATTAGTGCTTCCCAATGATCATGTCCAGGATTGCTTGTGTATCTACTAAGCCTGCTTACTGAATAAGCTAAGTCTAACCTCACCCTTATTTACTTATTCGGCCACATTATTGGATTTGTGAACTGCAATCAACAATAGACAATTGATGTCCTACGTCCATTATATCTTAATGAAATTGGACCTATTTCCAAGAAGTTCTAATATTTTTCCCAATGTGTCCTGCAACGATTGGTTTACTTATATTGGCTTTTATTATTCATAAGGTGTTTTATTTTAGAGAGCATCCCAACAAAAACATATTCGTTTTTATTATCCAATAATTATTTTTAATTCCTGCACACAGAATAATAAAAAAATCATGAATTTATCATTTTTTTAATGAGTGCTGCTAAACGAACCCTAAAATTAACTGAGTACACCCTATGATCTAAGTACACCCTAATATTTTAATTAAAATATAAAATTAACTAAGTACACCCTATAGAACTACCAAAAATACCCCTAGTACACCCTAATACTTGTAGCATTATTTCATAGTTGATTTTCAGCTTGAAATAGTGTTTATAAATCTTTGACTTTTCATATGGATTTATGCTTCTACTAAAACTGTTGACACTTTTTTTGCAATTCCAAGTTCTTGCAATCACCACCTCTTTTTTAAAACACAATAGGACAAATGAGAAATTAAACACAAATTATCTCATAACATATTTTGTGTTGGAAGAAGCCAAATGAGCAAAAAGCCATCATAATTATTATATTTATTTTGATATATGCTACATAAAACTGGAATAATATCTCTGCAATGTAACAATAAGAGGCCAAATTGTAATGTTATTATGTTTACCCAAACTAATGTTGTTAATTACTAATTTAACTGAGCACATGTCCCTGAAATCAGGTTCCTGAATGTAATTTCTTTCTCTGAATACGTTTTTCTATGGTATTATAAAATCAGAAGGAAAACAATGAAAGATGAAATAACTGCAATCACTTTTGGAAGGCAGTGGCCATAAACTGTAAGATAAGTCCTAAAACCACTTGAAATTTTGGTATATCAGTCTAAGCATTCTGAATAATGCTCATGGGGCAGCACTAGTTATAAAACAGAATTGATATGCCCCATAAGAATCGAAAAGCAATCAAATATGCTTCAAGATGCCAACCTGAAGAAAAAATAATAGCAGTCTTATGTTTGTAACACGAAGGGCTCGTTTGGGAGTGCTTTTGGAGTATCGAAAAGCGCTTTTAAATGGGCGAAAGCGCTTCTGTCTTTAAAAATGGTGTTTGGCAAAAATTGCAAAAGCGCTTTGGATGATATCCAAAAGCACTTGGAGTGGTTTTGGAAGAAGCACTGCAGGACAAAAACACGGGAAGCACTTGACTCCCTTTAATGAAACTTTTAAAATACCAAAAATACCCATATTTAATTTTTTTTAAATGCCGAAATACCCTTTCTTTCTTCTTTTTCTCTCCCCTTTTCTCTCCTATTATACCCTTTCTCTACTTTCTGATTCAGCTTTGGTTTCAATTCTATGTGTTCTATTTTAATGGGCGTATAGTCAAAGGAAGGGTGCAATACTATGCTTGCTAGTGATTATACTTGTATGAAATGGGTTGTTATAGCTCGTAGCTAGCGTAGCTGATTGGTTTTCTGAGTCTGCTTTTATAGCTATATCAACTAGATACAATTTCCTTAAGTCGTGTTTTTATTTTGGGATTCTGTAAATTTTTATTTCCTATGTTTATTATAATATTTTAGGATTCTTAAATTTTTTTAAAGTACTTTCAAAAGCGCTTTTACTGTGTCAGCCAAACACTCAACAAAATATCAAAAACGCTTTTATGTAGTGTAAAAGCACTTTTAAATGTGACATCCAAACGACAAACTGCTTCTTTGTAGAAGCGCTTATGTCATAAGCGCTACTGGCATAAGTGCTCCCAAACGAGCCCGAAAAAGAATAACAAGCATGCAAAAGAGCACCCACTTGAATGGTTCCAATAAAGCTGTAATAAGAAAAGAGCAAAACAATATGAGCACAAGATAGCTACAAAGCATTATACATCCATTACAGATCTGTGACTTCCAATCTCAAACTAAAATTATAGAGTGTCACCGAACCTGCTTTCTAAGTTGTCTAATCCAAGTTGCCAAGAAATAGTTCTGAGAAGAAAGAAGGAAGGCTTCATCTGCTCCAAGCCATTCTGACTCACGGATCACAAAGATGGGCACCAAGCAATCTCTTGATTAGGGTTCAATATGGTTAGTATGGTGTACTTATTAAAATTATATTTGTTTCACAATTCCATATATCCTTTTTGGTCATTTTATATTAGGGTAAATCAGTAATTCAATATATACTTTTGTAGTATGGTATACTCAGTTAATTTTAGGGTTCGTTTAACAGCACTCTTTTTTAATAGGTGTTCACCTTATTTTTTCATCCAAAAAGTCCGGAGTGATCTTATATATGGAGCACCCTACAAACTTTTTATTTGTCAAGCACAAACATTGTTCCACCTAAATAATTAAGAAGTGGAGGAAGATGTTAAATCTCCTGAATGAAACTTTCTCAATCTTGTTGCAACCTATTGAGGCCCAAAAAATTCAAAGCTATGTCCAAATATATTTAGTAAATTTAGGTTTTAGCCACAAAAATACTTTCACTTTTGGAAAAAGCCAAAACTTTTCCGAAAAAGACAGAAAAACCCCTCAACTTTCAAACCAAAGACATGCAAATGTAAAGGATTTCTTAGGAAATCCAAAAATAAATAAGGGCATTTTTGTCCATTTTGGAGAACACAAGAAAGTCCTACATGAATTAAAATCATAAGTAAAATCTTGTAATTACAATCTATTAAAATCATAAGAAAAATCATGTAATTACAAATCATGCTGAAATCTATTACATTAAAATCGTGTAATTACAATCTATTAAAATCTTAATTGAATACATCATTCATGGAGGACTTTCTTGTATTCTCCAAAGTAGATTTCACCGAAGTGTGGATTGGATTCGGGTTAGCCATCTTTCATCCATTAGTTAAAGGATGTCAAGCCTTTAAAGAAGCAGAAAGTTGAAGTTACACCAAGCTTAGCTAAAGTTATCATTACTATCTGTCATGTATGGCTTTCTTCAAATCATCTTGTTCTAAAGCTAAAACCACAGCGGTCCCAAAATTCAAACATAATTGTCATTAAACTAAAACCATACAGCTATTAAGTTTTGTTTGGAACTGAGAATTGACATAGGAACAAGCTACAACAATAAAAAATCTTGAATTAATTGAATTTATAAATATTACAACAGACAAGTTAATTGAATCAATTCAAATAAGAAACTGGACAGCTGAAAACAAGTCAAAATGGTCCAGCTATGACATGATACTAGTACAGAACACTTGTCACTCAAATTGATTCCACAAATTGACTAAAGAAAGACAAATAAATCAAATGAAATAAAAGAGTTGATCAGTGGTTTCGTATTCTAACTTTCAAGACACATTGATAGTGTGTGTGTGTGTGTGTGTGTGTGAAAAATTCTTATCCTCTTATATTTCAAGAATGACCCCAAACTTTCAGGGGGTAAAATGATGTTAGCCCTTTTTTTAATTATTCCGTGGTTTCAATTTTACACTAAAAACGTAAATAAGATAAAAATTAATAATTACGTATTTTCACCCAAACCTTACCTATACCATAGGTATTTTTATTTCTATTTTGACCCAAAAATTACCTACAATACAGTTAAAAACCTACAGTATAGGTATACACCTCACAACCTTACCTAAAACACAGGTGTTGTAATTGACGACACAAGGTGAGAATACTCCAAATTTATAGAGTCGACATTAATTGAAACCCAAAAACCTATGCATTAAAGAAGCATGAATCAACATAAATTGGTATGATTTTAGGAGAAAACGTGATTTAGGGATATGTTTGATATATTTGTCTTTTCTATTCAATGGCACATGTTGTATGAGCATATACAATCATGCTCCCTTTGTTTTAGTTAAAATTTAGCTAAAAACACACAAAAGTTAGTTTAGGGAGTCATAAATATTAGGGAAGCTTTAGTTTTAAAACACAATATAGTTTACTAATTTGGAAGATAGGAATACAATTTCATCTAATTAGCATAAGGCCAAAGACCAAAATGTAGTACCTAATTTTTACAATAATATCATTAAAAAATTTCACAAAGTACACACAATGCCACTCCATCTAAGGCAAGTATACTATGTCAATGTCCACATCCGGCCAACCGCCACTACAGGCCGGCGGTGCCCACAGTCGCAACCGTCGCCCATCGCCCACCGCCCACCGCCCACCTCCGCCGGTCGCTGGCCGCCAGCGCCCCCGGCCACTTGCCACCACCACTGTCGGCCTGCCGCCGTCTGCAGGGGCCCAACTCTGTTGACCTTTATTCACCTTTAAAAAACAAGATTTTGTATCATTGAAGGGACTCGAATCTTAACCCTCAAAAGAGGAGGGCTCACTCACAAACCACTACACCAAACTTGATTTTGTAATATTTATTCAGTTATACAATATTTATATAAACAAAAATAATGCACGCAAAAATTGCAAATAAAAACAGAAACTGCAACAAAAATATAATGTAGATATCTATTATGTAAAAAAAACAAAAACAAAAACAGCAACAAAATCAAAAATTAATTTTATAGAAGCAAAAATTGCATTGCAAAGTATGGGAAAAAAAAAATTGATGAAAGTACTCGAATGGAAACGGAAACTGCAAAGTTGGGGCACAAATGCACCTACTAATAAGTGAGGAAGTAGAAGTCAAAACCATGATGAAAGTACTAGAAAATTATACAAAAATCTCTATCCAAATAGCACCTCAAACTCAAATATGATAAATATAAAAAAAGCCAAAAGTAAAAAATAAAAATTACATCAAGAGTTGAAAATTCAACTTATAAAAAGCAAATAATAACTCGAAAATTCAAATAAGAATTTGATCAAGAATATACATACCAAATTATCCATCATTTCCTTCTCTACCAATTTCTCAACAACCAATCTACAGAGAATGAATAAGAGAGAGAGAGAGAGAGAGAGAGATATATATATATATATATATATATATATATGAGCAAAAACTTACAAGGATGATGTTGAAGGCCAAGGAAAGAGCAAAAATCCAATTGTAATTAAATGAAAACTGCAATATTGCAGTTTCCAAAAGTACAATTTTGAGTTCCCTTGCTCTTGGGTAGTTCTACTCTTCTCTTGCCCACCCAATTCCTCATATGGGTGGCCTCTACTCTTTAAATTGGTGAGGTTGAAGGCCAAGGAAAGAGCAAAAGTCCAATTGTAATTAAATGAAAACTGCAATGCAGTTTCCAAAAGTCCAATTTTGAGTTCCCTTGCTCTTGGGTAGTTCTATTCTTCTCTTGCCCACCCAATTCCTCATTTGGGTAGCCTCTACTCTTCAAATTGGTGAGGTTGAAGGTCAAGGAAAGAGCAAAACTCCAATTCTGAGTTCCCTTGCGCTTGGGTAGTTCTACTCTTCTCTTGACCACCAAATTCCTCATCTAGGTAGCCCCTATTCTTCAAATTGGTGAGGTTGAAGGCAAAGGAAAGAGCAAAAATCCAATTGTAATTAAATGAAAACTGCAATGCAATTTCCACATGCAATTTCCACAATTGTAATGTAGTTTGTGCAAAACTACAATGCAGAACCTTTACAGTGTAGTTTTGCAATACCATTTCCTTTGAAAAGTTCTGCTGCCGCTTGAAAATCTAGGAGAACCTTCTCTGAATCTTTTGAAGTGGCAAAGAGCAAAAGCTGAGCATAGAAAGTTTTATATAGGTCAACTAGCATGAATATTCCATTGCAAAGAGTTCCATAATTTTGAAGTCGTGTCTATAAAAAAAAATTCAAACATTCACCAAAATACCTGCTTCTTGATTTCACTTTCAAAAATTTGAGGGGCATTTTCCCTAGTAAATGTGATGACTAAAGGAAGCTTGTTTAGAAAGACACACTCGGCAATTGCAGACTTCTCAAATTTACCATCTGCAGAAATGAGAAACTGAGGACAGAGTAAAGGAACACAAAACAATCAAATTGAGACATCTCACCCAATGTGATAATAAAAAAAGACTAACTGAAATAACTTCAGGGTCAAGATGGAAAAGTTTTGCCACCTTAGGATCCACTGTTTGGTAAAAGTTGACATCATCTTCAAGTCTTGAAGCAACAGCAAGCTCGTCACTCTCAGGACCCCGTTATCATAAGGAGAAGGCATAATGACAATGAGTAACAATATATGGGATGTTTACACCATAATCAATCGAGCATATCTAGCCTCAAAACAACTAGCTCCAAGGCAGACACGCCTTCTCCCCTGCCGAAGGAAGACATTCTTCCGAGGTGCCAAGCACCTGCCGAAACTCCCGACTGCCAAAGCTCACAAACTGTTAAACCTAATTTCCATGACAAGTGTCACCACCGCAGCGACTTGCACAAAGTCCCACATTGGAAATCCACACCAACCTCCCACTTTCACTTCCCTATAAAAAGGGCACAATACCCTAGTAAAAAGGGTAACTACTTTTCTGCCTTTTACTGTTACTTTGCAAAAGTTACCCTTCTTAGCTGACTTAAGCATCGGAGAGCCTTCGGCTGGCACCACACCGGTGTCCGAAGCTTAATGACTGCTTCCCTTATTTTTGTCTTCTGCAGGCTAGCCTTTATTGAAGGTCCAGGCCCTTTCCTTGCTGAAGGCAAACCTCATTTTCTCTAAGTTTACCCTCTCTGAAAAAGAGCATCAACAGTTTGGTGCCGTCTGTGGGAAGTGATACTTGAATCCCATTTTTCTCTACCAGCCCAGCTGGCTCCTTCTCCTATCCGACCCCGTCGCCTCTTCTTCACTCCACACTCAGTTATGCCTACTGAGGATAGCCACGGGACTCAGCACCATACCCCCATGGGGGTACCTCCTAGAAGAGACCTTCAGCATATGCCAATCTCCAGGCAGAACTGGAGAGCCTCCGCGCCAGTGTCACCAAGATGTCCGAGAAATATGACCATCTTCATGCTAAGAACGTCGAGCTCGAGCATGACCACCGCACACTGAAGCGTAACTGGGAGATGAATCAAGCCCAGGGCTCCCAATGTAGCCTTATCCGGGAACCTGAGCGTACCCAGCCAAACCAGTCGGAGCACTCCCGCCACAGTGTCCCAATCCATCCTAGGCCCAGCAAGGGTAAAGGCCCCCTCCATCTGGAGACGACCAAGTCGCGGCTCCTCCGCATCTCCCGCCGAGGAACTGGCCCCATGAACCAACAAAGGTCTACAAGGATTGCAGGGACCGTATCCTGGACCGTCAGACGGAACCCCCTATTATCCCCGCTAATCTCCAAGACCCAAAGGTGACACACCTAGGCCCCCCACCAAAGCCTACCCAACTACCCCCTAGAGAAGGTATAAGGGACTCGGAGAACTGGGGATAGGATTACTTAGAAGACTATGAGTCTTATCACACCGAGGCGTTCGAAGAACTTTACCCAGCCCATGACCACTTACACACCGAGACTCTCCCTTATATCGACCTGGCAATGAGGCTTCTCTTTGAGAAAGTCCGACGCCTGGAGAGCGAGCAGCAGCGCAACCACCAACGCCTCTGGGCAAAGCCACGACATGGGCCCTTTACCGAACACATCCTTAATTACCACTAAGAGAAGGACATCCAGCCACTCCGCATCGCCCTCTACACTGGCACGGAGGATCCTCTCACCCACATACATTCTTTCCAATCTGCCCTGGGGTGCAAGGGCCGCACTGACGAAGGCATATGCCTTATCTTCCCTTCCACTCTCAGTGGCGCGGCCCTGAATTGGTTTTATAGGCTGAACTCCTGCACTATCAACACATTTGACAGTCTGAAGCAGGCCTTCCTAGACCATTTCATGATCCACCCTGATCGCCTCTTCCCTTCCACTCTCAGTTGCGCGGCCCTGAATTGGTTTTACAGGCTGAACCCCCGCACCATCAACCCATTTGACAGTCTAAAGCATGCCTTCCTGGACCATTTCACGATCCAGACTGATCGCCTCTACTCCGCGGACGACCTATACATGCTTAGACAGGGTGAGGACGAGCCCCTTCTGGAGTATGCAGCCAGGTTCAACCACGAATACTCCCGCTGCCCAGATACTGATGATCATGCCGCCTTCGGTGCTTTCAAGAGTGGCCTCCGAGAGTCCAACTTCCGGTACCTGGTTCACAGCAACCCTTGGAACACATATGCCGAGTTGATGAAGCAGGCAACAGTTCAAGCTAAGGCCCAGTACTTCAACTCCAAGCGTAGCCCAGCCACCCCCGCGCGTAATCCTTTTGCTGATCCTTCACCTGCTTCAGTACCCATCCCAGCTCCACCTCAACATTCTGCCCCTACACCAAGCACTCAGGGTGCCCAGCACCCTAAGAGGAATGATAGCTACCAGCATACCTTCAACAATAACAAGCGGGGCAAACATGGCAACCACCACCAGTCTAGTGGAAGCAACCCCCCAGGACAAATGACCGGGCCCCACTCCCATTCTCACCCAAACCCAGGTTCGAGGTCTTTACCACCCTAAACACTACCTATGAGAATGTCCTGGTGCACGAGGCACCTATCATACCCCAGCCTCCACCTCGGAAACCAGGCAGCAAGCCTATGCCTAACACAGGTGTCTTCTGTCGCTTTCATCAGTTTGGTGGCCACGATACCGAATCTTGTGTTGCCTTGCGCAACATCATTGATGGACTTATTCGTGAGGGGAAGCTGGATAAATACGTGCACAACCTCCCACCCCCACCTAACCCTCACCAACGGCAGATCAACATGATCTCAGCCATCAGTGGTGGCCTGCTTCAGACTTGAATCGAAAAGCCATTTCAATATAGATCTTTTGACCTTAGCCCTTATTTATTTTACCAAACACTTGAATCGAAAAAGTCATTTCAATATAATGTCCTTTTTAGTCATTATACACAGCTCACAGAACTATGACAAAAAATTTACCAAACACTGAGAAACTGATTATTGTACGAACATCACTTTTAACAAAAAGTTTATCAAACGCCAAATTATTTTATCTCATAGCAAATCTGACGGCGATTACTTTCACAGCCAAATTGTTTGTTTATTTTTTTGTTTTTTTTCTTCAGAAATGGAATTCATTCATAGAATCAAGATAGCGTACATAGAAGAGTACAAAATTTAAAGATTTTGTATCAAGTAATTTTCACCCTTAAGAAAAATATATTTCAATATATGAGGTGCCCTTCTATGAAAATTTTCTGACGCCCCCACTGTACCTATCATTTGACTTTTTTTAAAATAAAAAAAAACAAACAAACACATGCCTGCTGATTTCATTTTCTACATTTTAATATGGAAATTGGGCAAATAGCATAGTTGCGTAGGAGTTTTTTACTCTTTCGTTCTATAAAAGTCGTACAAATCCTCATAGAAAAGTCAAATCAATTGATCAAGTCAGTCAATTGTGCAGATGCAGAGGCGATTTTCTCCACTCGCTAGAGTTATTCAATAGCACTAGATATTGATCACAAAATAAAAAAATAAAAAAGTCGCTCGGCTAATTAGCTTTGCACATTTGTTATCCGATGTTCTTTTCGATGACTATGGCTAATTAGCTTTTTCTTTTCGATCACAAAATAAAAAAAGTCGCAATCAATAAGAGTTCAGTATTACTCTCTGACAATAAATCTACATCATACAGCTAATTGTTTGTTTGTTTATTTGTTGACAATAAGAGAGACCAAATTGTTTGTTTGTTTGTTGGTTTATTTGTTTTTTTTTCTTTAGAAATGGAGTTCATTCTTAGAATCAAGATAGCATACATAGAATAGTATAAAATTTAGGAATTTTCTGACGCCACCACTGTACCTACCGTTTGACTTTAAAAAAAAACCCAAACAAACAAATGCCTGCTGATTTCATTTTCTACATTTTAATATGGAAATTGGGCAAATAGCCTAGTTGCATGGGAGTTTCTTACTCTTTCGTTCTATAAAAGTCGTACAAATCCTCATAGATAAGTCAAATAAATTGATCAAGTCAGTCAATTGTACAGATGCAGAGGCGATTTTCTCCACTCGCTCAAGTTATTCAATAGCACTAGATATTGATCACAAAATAAATAAATAAAAAAAGTCGCACTACAACAAATAGGGGGCCTGAATGATCACAAAAAAGTCGCAATCAATAAGAGTTCAGTATTACTCTCTGACAATAAATCTACATCGTTGATATTTCCTGTTTGTAAGAATAATAAACAGAAGGCTAAGAATATAGGAGAAAACCAGAAATGTTTTCTCCAATCGTACAGCTAAGGAGAGACGTGGGTTTACAAATTTCAATTATTAAGTCGAATATCAGAACTTCTCCAATCAAGTGGGGACATATACTACTTGACTGAAAGCTAATTTGTGCGAATCGTGGCTTCATAAGGAATGCTTAACTACAAATGAGGCCACATCCAACGCAACCCTACCAGAAACCCACTCCTTGAGGGCGATGAAAGGCTTCTTCAGTCAAGGAAGCTGCCGGGAAAGAAAGAATTAAAAATGGTGAACCATTATAAAAAACAAGATAAATCTACTCGATCAGAAGCAAGAAAAACGAAAAGATGATTGATGCGAAACCATTGTTTGGGTTTGCAATAAAATAATTAATCGCACTAAACCCAATGAAACGAACGATTGATTGATTTGAGTGATGAATTAAGGAAAACTTAAATTGCAAGAATTAAAATAAAGAAAAATTAAACAAACAAAAAAATATAGGTTTAAAAGAAAAAGTGATGAAGATCTAAGGTTATGAATTCACCAACGACAATTCTATTTCCCTTTTTTAGAACCAATTACTTTCCAATTATGATGCCAATGTTAAATGTTGTTTTTTCTAAAGAATAAAATAAGCCTATCATGGTCATAAATCGTGTATCCCTATATGCGAATTATACCATGTCAAGGTGTCAAAATTTAACATATAAGAACCCGTTAAGATTAGAAGAATTCAATCAACCAAATAGGACTAGTGGATGACATTTCTTTCCTAGCTATCTACTCTTTTTAATCTTAGTTCCAATATGACAATAAACCTATATCTTCAAAGGGTAAAATGATGCTAGCCCCTTTTTAAATTATTCTGTGGTTCCAATTTTACCCCAAAAACATAAATAAGTTAAAAATTTATAATTATTTGGTATAAATGGGGATTTCTATCACAATAATGACAATATTTTATGATTTTAATATAGGGTCGTAAATAGGGTGAAAAATTGGGTTTTATGACAATAATTACTTCGATAAACTATATGTTGTGCATAATTGTTGGAGTTGTAAATTTTTCTAAGGAGGTGGTTTAGAGAACCCCTTGTAGATGCTCTAAATATCTTAAATCTTGGGGACATAAGATTTGTTTACTTGGTCACATTACTGGATTTGTGGACTGCAATCAACAATAGACAATTAATGTCCTACGTCCATTATATCTTAATGAAAATGGACCTATTTTCAGGCAGTCCTAATATTTTTCCCAATTTGTCATGCTTGCCTCAATTGGTTTTATTTATATTCGTTTTTATTATTCGTTAGGTGTTTTATTTTATAGAGCATCCCAACAAAAACATATTCTTTTTTTATTATCCAATAATTATTATTAATTCCTGCACACAGAATAATAATAATAAAATCATTAATTTATCATTTTTTTAATAGGTGTTCACCTGATTTTTTTTCATCCAAAAAGTCCGGGGTGATCTTATAAATGGAGCACCCTACAAACTTTTTATTTGTCAAGCACAAACAAAACACCACCTAAATAATTAAGAAGTGGAAGAAGATGTTAAATCTCCTGAATGAAACCTTCTCAAGCTTGTTGCAACCTTTTTCCTTCAAGTATTTAGCACTTCTTGCAATTTTCCTCATCCTTATATACAAATGGTTCTCCACTTCCGCAAACTCATCACCACCTTCTCCACCAAAGCTCCCTATCATTGGAAACCTTCACCAACTAGGCCAGCACCTTCAGCGCTCTCTTCAAACCCTAGCTCAACGCCACGGGCCGCTCATGCTCCTCCATTTCGGAAGTGTGCCGGTCCTTGTGGTCTCCTCAGATGAGACTGCCCGCGAGATCATGAAAACCCATGACCTCACATTCGCCAACAGACCCAAGAACACCTTCTTCAAGAAGATTTGCTACAACTTCAAAGACGTGGCCTCGGCTCCTTATGGTGAGTATTGGAGGCAGATGAAAAGTATATGCGTCTTAAATCTCCTTAGCAACACAAGGGTTCGTTCTTTTCGTGCGGTAAGAGAAGAGGAAACTAAATCCATGATCGACAATATAACTAAGCACTGCTCCTCATCCCCCTCCTCAGGATCATCAGCGTTTAATTTAAGTGAAATGCTCGAGACGCTTACGAATGATGTTATCTGTAGAGTGGCTCTTGGGAGGAAGTACAGCGATGGCGAGGAACGTGGGAGGACGTTTAAGAAGCTTGCCGGGGAGCTGACGTTGGTGATGTCGCGTATCCATATTGGAGACTATATCCCATGGCTTTCCTGGATCGCCCGTCTCAATGGTTTGGACGCCAAGTTTGACGATCTGGCTAAACGGTTCGATGAGTTTTTAGAAATAGTTGTTAAAGAGCATATGGATGAATTTGATGGTCTTACCAAGAATGAGGACCAAAAGGATCTTGTGGACGTTCTACTTTGCCTTCAGGCTGATTCTCCTATTGATAGAGTTAGCATCAAGGCTGTCATCTTGGTAATTAACTCTCTCTCTCGCTCTCTCTGTTACATTACATGCATAGTGGTGTTGGATTGCCTTATCTTTTTCACCATAGTAATGCTAGGATTACTCAGTTTGTTCAAAGAATGATGTTAAATTAATTATGCTTGTTGTATCTAAAGAAATAAATAAGTTTTACAAAATTGAACCATATCTGAAATTTTTTATTGTCAAACTTGTGCTAGCCTGCCAAGAAACACAAAGAAAAAGATGTGTTGTGTGACAAGAGACTAGTAATATTAAAAAGAAAATATTTTGTAAAAACCTAATATAAGTCAAACATTTTGGATTAACGTTAATTGATGTGCCCCCTATATGCTGTACCGAAGATCTCAATGTGCCCCCCTGTACATTCATTTTGTGTCTCACGTTCCCTCATTCCGTCAATTTACTCAATAATACCTTTAACTTGCGGACATGACACAGGTGTTTTAGTAATTTGACATATTTGTTTGAAGCATAAGCATTTTCAGGGATTTTGAATATTTCATTTTTAAGGTCTTCTACGTATATATATATATATATATATATATGATTTTTTGTAGAGATGATCTTTGAATGAGTATCTACAAAATAGACGGTTTGGATTAGTGAAATACAATCCATAGTGGGCTCTACAATATATATATATATATATATATATATATATATATATACAGAGAGCTTCCATTGAGGGATCCCTCAAATAAGCTTATTTGAGGGACACCCCTTGTAGGTCCCACTCCGGATTGTATTTCACTAATCCAAACCGTCTATTTTGTAGATACACATTCAAAGATCATCTCTACAAAAAATAACTTGAATCCGATATCATTTGACCATTCAATTGAGTTATTGAAATTTTAGTACTTTCTTGAAGCACCGTGTTCATTGATTTTGTAAGACACAATTGGATGTCGAAACGATTTCCAATTTGTCTAATTTTTTGTAAGGATGATCTATGAATGAAGGCTTAAAAAATAGATGGTTTGGATCATTGGAAAAAAAATTGTAGGGTGCCCTAAAGGGCGTCCCTCAAATAAAATTATTTGAGTGATCCCTCAATAGAAGGGGACTGT